GTCAACTTTTATGTTTTTGAAAATGTTCGAAAATTTTCGAAGATTCCATATTTTCAAAACTAAAGATGGGCAAAAAAAAATTAAAAATTGGGCAAACATGGGCAAAAAATGGGCAAAGTTTTAGTCGACCCAACTTCTTTGAGCTAGCCCGGCCCCATCACGCTCGGATACATATCCGCGCCCAGGATGATGGCGATCGTCGCTGGGAGATAGAACCGCTCGTCAGCCAGCATGATGTCCCGGAAGTGGGTTCGTCCCGCGTCGCTCAGCTCTTGGATTTGAATGCGGATGCGCACGTGAGGCTCTATTTTAAAGATGACGTCGAGCCGGACAGCGCTGTCGACCTTGGACCCCACGGTTGCCGAACAAATCTGTTCGCCTCTCACGTTGGTAGTCGGCAAGCGGAAACTCGACGCTAGCGAGGCGTCGATGGACGAGTCGATGATCACCGCAGTGTCGAAGACTCGAGTCACTCAGACGGATGGACCGACGACATTTCCGAAGCGGATGGATGCCGCTACAGACTCGACAACTGTAGGATTGCATACCTCGAGCTCGTCTGTGTTCCAATGCGATGGCGCTGGGCAGACGTGGAGACATCGTGTGAGATCTAATTGGCGAAATAGGACAAGAAAGTCGCGTGGAGAAAGCGGACACATTGTCGGTTGTCGCTTGATATAGGGGCCTATCAACACCAATCCAAAAATGGTTTCCTGGCCGAGAAGTGAACCGCAAATTTTGGCCCTGGAGTTGCCGAGGAGGATAGACGGAAGAATGTCGAGCTCTCGAAGAACTTGGTGTCCCCAAGGGGGATGTCAGGAATTCCCTTAAGAAAATCTCGAGGGACTGAAGTTTCTAAATGCAGCCCGGGTCTGGAAGGCGATCGAATATAAAAACAAGAAAGAACGCTATAGTCGGGTGCCCCGACTATCAGATACCCGTTACTCAGGTAAAGGGAGTGCGAGGGAGATGGAGATAGAAACTTTGATCACGCATAACTTTTTAACGAATAGTCCGATTTGAAAAATTTCTTTTACATTTCGGTAGGTATTGATAAACACAATAAAACTGCATTTTTACTTTTCCGAAATATTTAAATTTTTAACATCGTATATAACCGATTGTGGGCGTTAAAGGGGGCGTGGCACCTTTTTGAAACAAACTTGCGCTGCGTAGGAACTCCTAGAATCTGCATGCAAAATGCCAATCTTCTAGCTTTTATAGTTTCCGAGATCTCAGCGTTCATACGGACGGACAGACAGACGGACAGACGGACAGACGGACATGGCTAGATCGACTCGGCTAGTGATCCTGAACAAGAATATATATACTTTATAGGGTCGGAAACGCTTCCTTCTAGCTGTTACATACTTTTGCACGAATACAATATACCCTTTTACTCTACGAGTAACGGGTATAATGACAGAGTTTTGTGGACTGAGCGGCAAAGGTTTGTTTAAGACCAGAGACTTGGACCTGGATAGTCTTGAATGGAAGTTTGACGAGGTTGAAAACTCTCCGTAGTAAAGGTTGCCTCGGAACCAGAGTCTATCAGGGTTCGCGCCTGGAAATTGCACCCTAGATGGCAAATGTTAATGAGAGCTGTGCCTAGAAGGACGGCTCTTGAGCCGGAAGCGAAGCACACTTGCACATCAGAGTGATCCTCCGTGCCGCTCGTGCCTCTTGTAGTAGGCGCGGGTCGAGACCTGGCTAGCGCAGACGGACTTGGAGCGGCCGAGAATGGATTACCGCGGTGCAGGAGGGTGTGATGACGGCTGTGGCATGTGAAGCAGCTAAAGGCGCTAGTGCAATCCCGTTGCAGGTGCCCTCGTGCAAAACAGTTCATCGATAGCGTCCAGAGTACGATGACGCTCTGTCAAGAACGAGTCTAACTCATTCCATGTTGCAATTTCAGCCTTGTTGTGAATGGACTGCTCCCACATCGAAAGCGTGATTTTGGGAAGCTTTAAAGTCTCGACTTGAATAGAGGACATCTCTAAGGCTGTCAGGCAACTTTGGATTGTGCATTGCAGCTTTTTCAGAGCGGCTCCGGACTCTTGGGGTGAAGATCTCTGAAGGCCAACGCAGGTAATCACCAGTGAAAACTTCGGTGTCCACTGGTGGCAAACGACAGACCGTAGACGGGGGTGTTGGAACACTGACAGAAGCCTGAGTGGGCTGGGAGGCGGCCTTGTCCTTTATATCCTGAAGCTGGACCAAACATCTCGAATAGACGGAGTAGCAGTAACTGTACTTGGATTCAAGAACTTTCGAGATGGCCGTTTTGTCCGATAAAATTAATGATTTTAGGCTTGGCAACGAGTCGGTAGTAGAAATAATGTGGTATAGTCTATTATAATCGTTACACAGTACTCTAAACGGTTCATGCATATCAAAGTTAGATCTACAAATATTTAATGTAAGAGGAACATAGTTCCTGGTAATTCTATTAGGCACGGAGAAGCTTATGCCAAGGTCATCAACATGCGTAATTCTAGACAACGCGCAACCACCCAGCGTATACGTTGCATATTGTGGGTTCACCCGAAAAATTGTAATTATAAATTAATAATATTTATAATAAAATAAAAATTATAGTTATAAATAATTATTTTCGAACGGAGTCGGAACGGTGGAATTATAAGCTTTGGCTCGGGAGAAATGTTCACTGGGTTATGCCGTCGGCAGCGCAGTGCATGCGTGAGGGACCCGAGAGAGAGAGAAGAAAAAACGAGGACGTTAGCTAACTTCGGAAAGCCGAAGTTATAATACCCTTGCAGAAAGTAAAAAAGTAGCGAAAGGAATAAGGTATACATAAGTATACTAGATTTGCATTGTTTCATGTCAATTGCTTTTATACTGCAAAAATGTCATATAAAAATAGAAAAAAAGGGATACTTTCGCAGCCTTTAACAATTTTTCCTACGGAAGCTATAAGAAATAGACGTCTGATCGTCAAGCGCTTTTACCCTAATTAAGATATGCGTAAATAAATAAGACTTTGAAAAATTTATGTCAGTAGCTTACACACTGCGCGAAATATTCTAAAAACATCAAATTTTGACCGATTTCACTGTATTGGTCCTATGGGAGCTATAGGATATAGACGTCCGATCAGAACGCGCTTTTACCTTGATGAAGGAATGCATAAAAAAATACGATTTGGAAAGATTCATGTCAATAGCATTTACACTGCGCGAAATATAATCAATTCTTGCAAGATAGATCCGATTGTTTCTATGGGAGATATAGGATATAGACGTCCGATCGGGGCGATTTTCAAACTTGATCTGCGTACACATGTATTAGGACGAGTGTGAAAGTTTCAGATCGCTAGCTTTTATACTGAGCTCGCAAACGGTATTGAAACAGACGGACGGACGGACAAACGGACAGACGGGTCGGAAACGTTTCCTTCATTGCGTTACAAAATTCTGACCAAAATTATAATACCCTCTGCAATGGTATAAAAACAGCAACAGTAACAGCACGGCCGCTGCGGCGGTTAATGCAGCAATTTGGAACAAAAACAATCGCGGTCGCACCCGTGTGGATTTTAATTTATTTTATTTTCTTTAATTTTTCTTAATGTTGCTATTTTGTCTCGCTTTCGGTTCCTTTGGCTTCGTATTGACTGTGCGTAGGTTAGTTCCTGTATGTGGAGGCAGAAAATATATATGTTAATGTGGGATGAGCATGCACAATATGTATGTGTGAGGGTATGTGTTGGATGCTGCTCTTTGTCATACAGGGCAAACCCGATAAGTGGGCTGTAGTTGTGATAGCATACAAAACATTTATGGATGCAGAAAATATATTTATGTAGATATAGGAATGCATTCGTTTATGGATATGTGTAAGTGTATTGGTACAGTAGAGCGTCGAGGAGTGGACTGTATTTGAAGTGACGGAACAGATAAAATTATGTGGGAGAAAAAAAACACAAGACAAAAAAATATCGCGACAGCGGCGGACTGTTCGGCGAACAGAGAAACTCCCGAAATTAGTTCACACCGAGTTGCTGATATTAGTTATGCCGTTTTATTTTCCACCACACAATTTCACTTTTGTCGTATTTCTTTTTTCTCGGAGGCGGAATTCCACTGAACTATGTGCACAAGTTGGCACGCGCGTGTGTGGTTATGTCTGGATGCACATAGGCCTTGAAAGTTGGCAAGTTGGTGTACATCGGAACAAAAAAAAACGGCAAGGAGTATGGCGCTCACCCAAAGCGGAGACGGATAGAAAATTTGTTGAAATTTGAAGAAATATAAATTTTTCGACTGCCGTTGTGTCGGGAAAACTCGGACTTGAAGTTGACACAAGCAAATTGATCTTGCAGCAGTGTGAACGAAGTTCAATGTTCGAACCACTGCTGAAGACCGGCAGCGAGAGGGAGACGGAAATACTCGTACTTATTTTTTTTTGTTGCGGAACTGTTGGAAGAATGGTGGAAGGATATCCGTATCCGGCTCGAAGGACCAAATGTTGTAGGGGGCGATCCTGCCACAAAAAAAAAGACTCCTAGAAGGCACAAAAAATTGCCACCGCGCAAACGTAAATTTGGATGAAAATGAAGTCGGAGGCGTCGTGGTAATTCATTGTGTGGTCTTTATTCGGCTGCATACATGAGACTAAACATAAACATAAAACCGCGCTTCCGCCCGCTTTACTCAGCTGAAGCGAGAGCGGGAGATCGGCAGCAGCCGACCGAGGAGTTCGGATCCGGGTTTCGACGTTGTGAGAAGCGAGCGAGGGAGCGTAAGAGGGGCGAGAGCGAAAGCTCGGAGAGCAAGTGAGCAACGGCAATGCAGTGGGCCACTGACCTAAGCAATTACCAATGTCCACTAAAATATTTAATTGTCAATACGTTTTCTACAGATATTGATTGTTATTGAATTAACACTATTGTGAATAAATTAAATACAAATTTATTTGTTAGCAACTTTTTTGTTAATTTGGTACTGTTTTGGTACTGCTTCCGTCCGCTGTGCGGGTTCTTAACCTAGACCGCCACAGAACTCCCTCCCTAGTGACGACGTCACGATGTTATGAATTGGACTCTTCGCCTCTCGTAGGTCCGTGGTTTTCCATAGCTTTTTAGGTTGGAAGTTCAGTTGAGCATCGCTTCTAAGAATGAAAGCGGGTTTTATTCTGTCCACAGACACTGCTACTTCTTTTCCGTTGACATTTAACGTAAAGATTCGGTCATTATTGCGATGTACAACTTCAAATGGGCCAGTGTATGGTGGCTCTAAAGGCTGTTTGACGGCATCGGTGCGAATGAATACGTGCGAGCATTTGTCTATTCCTTTAAGACGAAACATTTTTTGGTTGCTATAGTGTGCAGCTGGAGTTGGACGTATTTTTCGCATCTGTTCGCGAAAACTACTAATAAAAGTAGCAGGATCTGGGCTTGCATCTATGTCTTCGAAGAATTCGTTTGGCAAGCGTACCGACGTACACATCATCGCAGCCTTAAAAGACCTGTGCCATCTTTCGACCATGCCGTTTGACTGTAGTTGATACGCAGTCGTATGGATGTGTTCACTTCCCATAAGTTGAGCCAGTTCCTTGAAGAGCGCAGACTCAAACTGAGTGCCTTGATCGGTCGTTATGGTTTTAGGTGTTCCAAAACGCGCAACCCATTGTGACCAAAAAGCGTTGGCCACCGTCTCGGCAGTGATGTTTGTGAGAGGAATAGCTTCGGGCCAACGGGTGAATCTGTCTATCATGGTGAGACAGTACCAAAAGTCTTGATGAAACGGCATGATGACGATGTCCAGATGCACGTGATTGAATCTGTCGTTGGGAACTATGATCTTCTCTGGAGTCAGATTATTGTGCCGGTTGATTTTAGCACGTTGCATAGCAGACAGGTCCTGCTCTATTCAATAATATTTTTCCGCATTGCCGGCCATATAAATTTTTGCTTTATTTGTTGCAGCGTCGATCTTCCGCTCGGGTGCGAAAGGCTGTGGAAAAAAGAGAAAATTTTGTTGCGAAGAGTAGTGGGTACGTACGGCCGAACTGTGTTCTTTGAAACGTCACAATACAGCATAACATTTTCATCGTAACGGATTTTCTGCAGTCGGAGAGAAGTGCTCCCTTGCAGTAAGTTCGGCAGTTCGGAATCAACTGACTGTGCTTCCTGGATTTCCTGTAGAGTGACCGACACTGGCATGTTGATTGCGCAGAGCCTAGAGAAAGCATCTGCGACTGTGTTTTCAGCTCCTTTGGCGTGAACGATTTCGGTCGTTAACTGGGAAATGTAGCCCAGATGACGGAGTTGCCCTGGTGACGCCTTTTCAGGCCATTGCCTAAAAGCGTAAACGAGAGGATTGTGGTCCGTTTTGATGCAAAATATGCGACCCTCGAGGCAATGCTTGAAGTATTTTATGGCTTCATAAATCGAGAGCAATTCCCGATCGTAAGTGCTGTAGTTTTTCTCAGTGTCCGTGAGTTTTTTTGAGAAAAAACCAAGTGGTTGCTTATGGTCGTCGATTACCTGTTCTAGTGCACCACCTATCGCGACATCAGAAGCATCACATACCAGGACCAGTTGTGCAGTTGGACTCGGTTGAGCCAACAGTACCGCTTCTGTGACACTTTTCTTGCATGCCTCATAGGCGGCGATATGATCTGGAGTCCATTCGACCTGGCGCTGTTCGTTTTTCTTGACGTTCCTCAGGGGCTGTGAAAGAGGTGCGTGGATGTGTGACGAACGGGGCAGGCACCTTCGATAATAGTTGATGATGCCGAGGAATCGTCCAAGCTCGCAGATGGTAGAGGGCCTCACATAGTTTTGAATAGTTTCTACACGATGACTTGGAGGTTTGATTTCGTGCTCATTGATGATGTAGCTCAGAAACTGCACCTCGACCTGGGCCAGCTGATATTTGCTAAGGTTAATGCTGAGTCCATGGCTACGAAGGATCTCCAAGGCGGACGAAGATGCTTCTCGTGTTCCTCAGGTGTTTTGGACATGATCAAGATATCGTCTATATAGCATTAAACGAAATCAACGCCACGAAAAGTATTGTCGATAAATCTTTGGAAGGTTTGCGTACCATTCTTTAGACCAAACGGCATAAGTCGATAAGTCCAAACGGAGTGCAAACGGCGGTTTTAGGGATATTACACTCAGCCATAGGAATCTGATAGTACGCCTTCACCAGATCGAGTGTAGAAAATATTTTTTTACCGTGTAGCTGCTCCGAGAAGTCGTGGATGTGAGCAATTGGATAACAGTCAGGTACCGTTATAGCATTGAGCTTGCGATAGTCCCCGCAAGAACGCCAACCACCATCCTTTTTGCTGGCCATATGTAATGGGCTTGATCATTAGCTCTTGGAAGGGCGACAAATGCCTTCATTGATCAAAAAGTTTATCTCTGCTTTCGCGGTGATTAGTTTCTCACCAGACAGACGGCGTGGCCGATCGGATATTGGACTTCCCGTGGTTTCGATGTAGTGTTTTACATCGTGCCGGGTGCTTGTCCTATGTGCTGGTATGGTGACGTCCACGAATTCCTGCAGTAGGCTTTGAAATCCATATTTACCATTAATGGTCGACACAGAGTGATGTTTCGCGTTCGAAAGCAAAGCCGGGCTCGACAAGTTGGTGTTTGCATCAATTAGTTTTTTGCCTTTAACGTCGACGAGCAGGTTGAAATGGGACAAGAAATCGGCGCCTATGATAGCTAACTCGATGTCAGCTACGATGAAAGGCCAAGTCCAAAGTTGAGGTCAACCACCACGCTGCCGTAGGTGTGGATGACAGTTCCATTTGCTGCATTCAATGTGAGATCGCTTTGTTTGACGTTTTGCGTAGCTCGTGAGCGAGGCATGACTGAGACCACAGAACCCGAGTCTATGAGGAATCTGCGGTGTGAGTTGCGATCGGTAATGTGAAGACGGATTTCTGTGAACTTGTTAGGTTGGACTGGATGTTCGCCGTTGCTTGCGTGGCTGCCGCCCTACAGCCCTGAAGGCGAAAGCTGCATTAGTTTAAAGGATGTGCAAAAGAGCAAGGAGATTTGCACTTGCGTGTATCTTTTCCAAAGCGACGATGGTAATAACAAAGCTCTTGCTGATCATCAGACTGCTGCGACTGGGCACGATAGTCATTCGGAGATTGAGTGCGTGGCTGAGAACCCGAACGGTACTGAGACGAAGCGGGTGTCTGGCTGATAGAACGGTCTCTGGATTGCCGTTTGATCTCACCTTGGATTGTGTCGACCTTTTTGACCAGTTGACGTAATGATTCGGTAATACTCTTGAGCGCGTCGGACGGCGTCACAGCATTCACCGTAATGCCAGCGGTTAAGTTGCTCGAGTCGATCGCAAAGGAGATGACAGAGACCATGGTTTCTAGCATTTTGTCAGCCAATTTTCCAAGTTTCTCGGCGTAGCTTAGATTCGGCTGACTCTGCAAACTTCTCGAGCAATCGGGACTTAAGAGTATAATACTTGTTGGCCGCTGGCGTGTGAGTATCTAAATCCTCTACAGTCACAATAACATCTGGATCCAAATTTACGGTGATGTAGTCAAATTTATCGTCATCGTTGTTGACGCCGTGCAGACGAAATGATCGTTCCACTTGGGCGAACCACAATTGCGGATTGTTGCAAGTGAATTTCGGAAGTCGAATTGTTGTTCGTGCCGTTGGAGCCGTGTTAGCCGTCTGCGCTGAAGAAGTATTAACCTGCAATGCGTCGACTTGGCCTTGCAGATCTCTGATCGTGTCCAGCAATTGTTGCGACTCGTCGATCATGTTGAGGTTGGCGTCGTTGTCAAAGATTAACCTTCTAGGAACAAGCGAGCGCAGATTGTATCGGGGTACGGCGGGCATAAACTTTTTAATGTATTAGTGGCGTCGCTTCAGCTTTGTGTGTGTGTGGCTGAAAGTCAGAAGTTCTGTGCAAATTATAATTTTGCCTTATTTTTGCGCAATTAAAGAGTATTTGCGGTCTGTTCAAGTTGGTTACTATAGTTTGATATATACAATTTTATTAGTTTTAATTTGCAGAGTCACACGTTTGTCTTCGAAGCTTGATCCTGGCAGAGAGAGAGAGAGTGTGACCAGCCGAGTCTTTTTAATTTAGAATTTTGTTTTGGTACTGCATCCGTCCGCTGTGCGGGTTCTTAATGTGGACCGCCACAGAAGATACTTTGCAGTGCCACCTATTATTCGCAAAGTATTATGCCGCCATCTACTTGTCGGCTTGGGTACCACCAGCTGGATAGACGAAGAATTCCAGAATTCAAGAAAAAATACGAAGTCATTGTCAGAGAGAACTGAGAAAGCTCCCACTGGATTTACAGTGGGTGCAGCAAAAATAAAACCAATTAAATTAAAGCCAAATTTAAGGGTAAGCCCACAAAATATAGTGTTACCTATGTATAGGCATCTAGTTTTTTTTTGTTTTTAGGTTTTGGCGCTTAATGCCTAGGTCGTGCAGGGGTCCGAGTGATGCTGATATTGCAAATACTTGTTGTGTATATTGATTTTTAATAAGTCTTAATTCTTGCATCAACACATCACGCATGCAAAACGACGACTGACTCTCCCTTCGTTCTTCACCTCCGCTCTCGTTTTTCAGGGTTGCATTTCGAATACATCTGCGTATTTTTTTTTTTTTTTTTCCTTTCGGACGTTGGTGCACTATGATCAGCGCAAACAAGTGGCCCTTACGACACCAAGCAGTGCTTGTTACGCGCGGAGCCTAATAGGCGTAAAAACGAGAGCGCGAGAAGTTAAAATTACAATGTAGACGCGGACAGACTAAGATTACAAATACGTACGAGACTAATACTAATACTAATTTTGTGCTAAGTAAGAAAAAAATTAATGATTTTAGGCTTGGCAAAGAGTCGGTAGTAGAAATAATGTGGTATAGTCTATTATAATCGTTACACAGTACTCTAAACGGTTCATGCATATCAAAGTTAGATCTACAAATATTTAATGTAAGAGGAACATAGTTCCTGGTAATTCTATTAGGCACGGAGAAGCTTATGCGACCCAGTAACTCGGGACTCTCCACATCCCCGTGAATAAGTTTATAGATAAAAGTTGTGCCAAGCATCGTTCTACGGTTTACTAAGGATGGTAGATTAATTAGGAGAAGTCTACTAGAGTAGGATGGTAAAATAAGGCTTGCATTCCAGTTAAGGCCCCTTAGAGCAAATAATAAAAAGCAAAATAATAAAGCACGGACTCTATCCGGTCTATATGTACACCATACTGAGGACTCCAAACTGCTGAACAGTACTCCAGGATTGGACGGACTAGTGAAATGAACAGAGTCTTTGTAACATAGGGATCATCGAATTCCTTTGACCACCTTTTTATAAATCCAAGTACTCCCCTTGCTTTATTCACCATAGAAGTAATATGGTCACAAAACTTAAGTTTTGGGTCAAGGAGGACGCCAACATGCGTAATTCTAGACAACGCGCAACCACCCAGCGTATACGTTGCATATAGTGGGTTCACCCGAAAAAATGTCATTACTTTGCACTTAGCGCTATTTAAATCCAAAAGATTTTCACAACACCATGTTTGAAAAGCATTTAGGTCAGATTGTAAGTCATAACATAACTTAACGTCATCTGCGTACATAAGGACACGCGACTTTGTCAAGACTAGAGGGAGATCGTTTATAAATAAAGTAAAAAGAAGTGGGCCAAGGTGGCTTCCTTGTGGGACGCCTGAAGTAACTCGGATCAAATAAAATCGAGTTTTTAAAGAGGACTCGTTGAGTCCTACCACTCAGATAACTTGAGATCCATGTTAGAAGATCACATGGAAACCCCAATACATACGTAATTATAAATTATTAATTCTGCGTATTCATTCATCATT